CCCCTCCCCTCCCCCTGACCCTCTGCCCTGCACCGCCGTGGCCGGTTCGCCTGTCAGCGAGAGTCACCACGGGGTGAAAAACTCCCTCGCCAACTCCACCAGCACTTCGTCCAATTCCAGCAGCAACACGCACATCAGCAGAGACGGGGTTGGCACCTCGTCCGGGACTGAGGAAGACACTCCAGCAAGCAGCGAGCAGGCAAGTGCCCCGACCGACCAAAGCACAGCCCAGCCTTCACAGCCCCAGATCTACCCCTGGATGCGAAAACTGCACATAAGTCATGGTAAAGCAAATACCCTCTTCTTTCTTTATTTCTCTGGAGGAAAAGGAGGATTTAATGTAAACCGGGTGGCTGCGCCGAGCAAGGTCGGGGAGAGGGGGAGAGGAGGGCGTGAGAGCGGGCAGCCTCCGCGCACAGCACAACTCTGCTCGCAGGGAAACACGCTCCTTTCTCTGGGCGAGTCCCCCCAAAAAGAAAAGGAAAAAAAAAAAAAAAAAACAACCAAAACCAAAACAAACGTCCGGCCCCAACACAGCCCCCCGCCCGGCTCCCAGCGCGGGCAGCGGGGGAGCAGAAAAGCGCCTTCCCGAAGGGGGGATCGGGAGCAGAGGCTGCTCCCGGCTTTCCTGGGGGGGCCGTTTGCGGCTGGGGGAAACCGGGGGGGGGGGGGGGGGGGGGGAAAGCGAGTCGCCCCAAACTCCGGGTAGAGGGTTTGAGGGGCGCGGGGAAGCGGTGCAACTTTCAGCCCCGGGTACCTGCCCTGCCCTGGCTGCCGGGGGAGCAGCCGGGGGCTGGCTGCCTCCCAGAGCCTTCCCCAGCTCTGCCGTGGGAAAGGGCTGCACGCTTCAGCTTTGCTCTCCCAGCCCTGAAAAACACAGCTAGCAGCAGAGGCATCCTCCAAACCAGCTTATCTGGGGGAGGCGGGTGTATGTGTGTGTGTCGGGAGGGGGTGGGGGGGGAATTAGCATTCAAAAATACAAAATAGAAATCAATTTTTAAAAATATCGAACCCCAAATCCAAGCGAAAACTTACCGAGACCACCAAATCCCCCTCCCCCAAGCCTTTCCTAAAGGGGCTGGAGGGGGAAACTTGTTGAGCCTTTATCCAAGCCAGAAACAAAACCAAGCAGGACTAAGAATAACGGTCCTGGTCGCTGGTAGCTGCAATAAGACACGAAGGCTGCGAGTGGCTGCTGAGAATCTAAATCATGTACTTTTCTCTTCCAGACAACATAGGGGGACCAGAAGGGAAAAGGGCTCGGACTGCTTACACCCGCTATCAGACCTTGGAGCTGGAAAAGGAATTTCACTTCAATAGATACCTGACCCGCAGAAGAAGGATTGAAATAGCACATGCTCTTTGCCTCTCAGAGAGACAAATAAAGATCTGGTTCCAAAACAGGAGAATGAAATGGAAAAAGGATAATAAGCTGAAAAGTATGAGCATGGCAGCTGCAGGAGGGGCATTCCGTCCCTAAGCGTTTGATCAATTAAAAGTACTGAGCAGTATTAGCTGACCCTGCGTCTCATGTCAGTACTAAGTTGACTTTCTAAAACTTCCTTGTGTTACTTCTGTGAAGAAACCCTGTTCTTGTCGCCCTTATTCATCTTTTAATCATGAGCCTGTTTATTACCATTCTCTCGCGTGTATAAGTAGATCTGCTTTTATCGTACATTTCTTTGTCTTGAATGGCTTTGTCTTGAAAAAATAATAGATGTTTTAACTTATTTATATGAAGCGAGCTGTGTTACTTGAAGTAACTGTTAAAACAAAACAAAACTAAACAAAAAAAGAACAAAAAAAAAGAACGTGAAAAAAAAAGGAGAGAGAGAAAGAAACCCTCCCCCGGTTTAGTACAAATGTTATGTGTTGCACTCAACCTGCTTAACTGTGCATGTGTGGTCAAGTGTTAATGTCTGTATAGCTCCAAGCTGTTAAAAATATTTTTATTCAAACTACCTATATAATTCCTGTGTAATTAATGCTGTTGTAGAGGTGAAATGATGAAATCAACTGAACTTGTCCTACGTGTAGTGAATAGTGAATCTGTGACGAAAACTGTGATTCCAAGCAGTATGTCCTTGCTGTGCCTTTGTATATGACTCTTTGCACGAACTCTTAGAAGTGGCTCTTATTAAGCGCAGCTTCTGTGATGTATGTTTTTTGTGAACAAAGTTACAAATATAGTCAAAGTCTGGCTGTTTGAGCAAACTGTGATCAGCTTTTTTTTTTGTATTTGTTTTTAAAAAAAACTGACTGGAAATCAACAAAAAAAATAAACTTTCTATTGTAAAGTTTTCGTGATCTGGTTTGTGCAAAGCAAGAAGTTGTGCTTCCTGATTTGCCTCTGGAAAAAAAAAAAATAATAACCCGTGCAGAGTTTGTAATAATATTTTACCTGGCTCCTGCTGCACGTTGCAAATGGTAGATGCTGCGGTTGTCCGCTACCAGTATTTTTAATTGAAAGTTTGACCATAAGTTCCTCCTTACTAGTTTCTCGCTAGGTGGAAAGCTGAATCGCAGGACCACAATCAACACCCTTTGTGGGTGAATCAACTGTTAGTTGTTTGCTGATGGTTGAAAAAAAACAACACATGTGCTTTGTTAAAACACGCTGCTAACTCCAAGACGTGTTTGCATCGCTCTAGAATTTCTCCTGTGGTTTCATTAAGTATATTTGCAGGACAGCCACGTCCGAGCCTCTGCGTCTATTAGTAACCCTCGCTAGCCACATTCCCACTTTTCACCCTTTAAAGATTTTTGGTTTTCTTCGCTACAATTAGTTTGCTATAAACGTAATGTTACTTACCCCATCAGAGCTTGAATGGTTAACTCTTCTGAGCCTCTAAGAGCAACTAAAGATTTGCACATTTACTGACTGGTTACATTGATGCCTTCCCTTAAAAGTTATAAAACAGTAAACTTTATAAGCCCCAGTTCCGGCTATATGACATTTGGGTGCCAAATGAATAGGGTTTTGTCTATGAATTAGATCGTAAAATCATCCATAGCACAGACAGATAGGCTCACTGGCTATAAAAAGTCACGTGGTGCCATTAAAGTAAGTTTTATGGTTTTGGGGAGTTGACATCCAACATTATATACCACATAACATATAATCTCACTGACGCTGGACTTCATTTGACTCTTTTGCAGGCTACGTGTGCCTCCTGGCCATTCAAATTGTCAGGTTTAGGGACAGAAGTATCCAAACCACAAGTTCTCAATACTGTATGAAAAATGGCTCCTTGCAAGTCAAAGGTAAGTTTTGTGCACAAGTTCCTTAAAGTTTATTTGTACAGGGGGGAAGCCGAG